GATCAGCTCTGCTCAGCTGCAGAGATCCGATGAGACCAACACATATTGAGAGTGATTTGGTCATAGGCAAAACATTTACTGAAACAAAACGATATTTATTTTTAAGGTCTCATGACATTTTGTGAGAAAGTACAAGTATTGAAATTGAGATGCAGCAAAAGTGGACCCTGAGGGTTTGTGTTAACATGATTCCAAAAGAAACAATGTTCCCTTAAAAAAAATCTGATTTACTTTTTTAATATAGATGTGACCCTATGACATTTTTTTTTATAAAGTGCAAACATCAAGACTCTTTATAAACACTCATGGCAATCATGTACAATGATGTACATATAAATGTATACACTAACGTTTCGACAGTTGTTACCAATAAAGTGTTTCGCTAACATGGAGTTTATATGGCAATCTACTATCTGAAATAGACCAAAATAATCAAATCGCTGCTGTATATATTACGCGTTGAGAACAACTGCGTGTAAATCACATCTGTCGCTTCAGTGTATTGGTCTTGTAGACTTAACCAGAAGCGTGTGTTTAAAGCGAGCAGAATCTGGATCGGTTCTGAGCCAGGCATATTTAACAAATGCTACTGTTACTGGCGAGCATGGCTGATGGAGGGCACCTCCTCCGTCTCGACGGATCCATGTTTAGAGACAAACAACACGAAACAACTTTGTTGTGTGCCGTTGTGTATCCCTTCGGAATGCTGCACAGAATCACCACATTATACGTTCTTTTCTTTACACACTATTTTGAGCTGTCATTCATCTTCAGGTGTATATTTTTTATAAATTCTCTGAGAATTTATGATGAAAATTGAAGTTGTACATTTACAATAAACAATACAGTATTTGTTTTTAGTATTCAACAGGGCAATTTAATAGGATGTTATCAAATTTGTTTGTAAGGATATACATACTTTCACACATTAGAATATATATATATCTGTGATATGACTTTTGACAGTTTCAGACTGAATCAAAACAATTATATACTTCCATATGATTTGATTTTGCATACTCGCTGAGTTTTTTTAAATCAATGTATTATTAATAGGACGAGAAGTAAAAACGAAATCATAGTTTGTAACATTAGATCCTCAACACACCGGTGTTGAGGATCTAGGTCACACATTTTATTTATGCGATCTGACCCAAAAAATATATATTTGGAATCGTAATTGAGTTGGAATATGCCTAACACTTAATATGGGTGCCGTGGTGATGTTAACTATCTCGCCTGGTATGTAGGAGGTTGTGGGTTCGATCCCGACTCTGACGGTGCCTCTATATTTGGTCACGTGGATTTTTCTCCGGGTCCTCCAGTTGTCCCTCCACGTTTAGAAACAACGTGCGTTTAGAGTATATCGCTGCTATAAATGTCCGCATGATAAGCCACTTCATTTAGCTATCATTTGTGGCCAGGTCGCTTCTGAAAAAGAGCTATATAGCTTAGTTGGGCCTTACTTGGTAAAACAAATGTTGCTTAAATCATTTATTTTCTCCGTCAAAAAAGATAAAAATGGAAATGTGAAATAATTAATCCTTTCCCCTATTCAAAAACACATCTCTGCTTGTTTAATTTCTACGTAGGCTTTCACGACCAATATAACGTCCTACCCATTTAAATTGTTGTGAGATTATTTCCAACGCAACTGCGGTGCTGTGGCAGTCATACATTCGACTCTTTTGTTCACGTGACACTTATTACTTGGCCGTGTTGGGTGGAGTAGGAGGGGTTTTTTTTACGCCACATTTGTAACACGACCTAACCCAAAAGAAACTTCAAAGACTACAAAATAACCTAGCACGTGTTGTCATTGCCCACACTCATCCCCGTCTCGACTCACTAGCTTGTCTCCGTGCTCTCAACTGGATACCCATCGCCAGTAGGGTCACATACAAGACCGCCTGCCTCTTCCACAATGCCTTCACAGCTGCCTGCCCGCCGTACCTCTCTTCATTATTGACAACTTGCAGCTCAGCACACGGCAGATGCCTGCGCAGCGCGACTCACGACCTCCTCTTGATACCAAGATCCAGGATGGTCGTGTCTATGCGCCGCTTCTCGGTGGCAGCCCCAACAGTCTGGAACGATATCCCTCTGCACATTCGCAGCATCACCTCAATCGCCTCCTTCAAGAGACACTTAAACACCCACCTCTACAACCACGTGCTTTCGAGCGACTCTGAGCTTGGCTCCACGCCTCTGAGTTGCGGCCACTACGTCTGCAAATTTGCGCGCGTTACAAATTTAACTATTATTTTTAAAAGCCCAATAATGGTACTCTCTTGTTCCTCGGACGCCATTTCCGTGTTTGTTGCGTGGGTTTCTCTTGTCCATGTATCGCAGTGGTATAGTCTGAAATGTACGCTGGCGACCTTGACACTTTTTCACCTGCCATTTTCATCAATTTTTTTTGTCTTACGAAATACAAATGTAAGCGATATTTCTGTCAACGTTAAAGAGGGTCACTTGGAAACAACGGTGAAAGTAATGCAAGCTAATTTGAAATGCACGTTACCCTGCAAATATGTTCTGGCCAGATTCATCATGAGCCACCCACGTGCTTTGAAATTGTCCATATCGCGACAGTTTTTTTTCAGTGCCGGCAATACTTTCCTCGAAGGTAACCCGATTACTTATTGTCTCATTGCAATGAATGTTGGTAAAGATTCTGTACTTTAACACTGGCTTGCGACCGAAACGTCGTGATATTTTATTTTTTATTTTATTATTTTTCTTCTACCAACGTGACTTTACCGCAAGAACCAAAGAGTATGGATTCCTGCAGTCACGAAAGCTTCAAATCAAGATTACTACCCACCTATTTCACACATTTCTGGCAACTGCATGTTGATGCTGGCTGTGACTGACAGCAACAAGTCGGGCCCAATTGTGAAATGCGTGCGGTTGTGCTGAAGCGGTAATACATCACCACGTTTGTCCACGTGACAATTCTATTAATTGGCCGTGTCGGGTGGAGGAGGGTTTACGACACGCGATTTTACTTACGCAATGGATCAGCGTTCACGTCGACCCACCTGTCAGTACCCACGGTGGAGAGAGAGTGAGCCACGGTGGCTAGGAGATGTTAACTACCTCGCCTGGGATACAAGAGGTCGTGGGTTCGATCCCGACCCTGACGATGTCTGTATATATATTCTTGGTTCTTTCGGTAAAGTCATCAGGTGTGATGATGATTGCTTGTATTGCAGTCGAAACGTCGTGAGAATTTTTATTGTTTTATATTTATATTATTTTATTATTTCCCTTCTACGTGACTTTACCGAAAGAACCAAGAATATGAATCCCTGCAGTCACGAAAGCTTTAAATCAAAAGATGTCTGTATATTTGGAGTTTGCATGTTCACCCGTGGTTACGTCGATTTTTCTCCGGGTCCTCCGGTTTTTCCAGATTTCGAAACGTACGTTTGAAGTATTTGGCCGCTATAAATTTCCACGTGATAAGCCGCTTCGTCGAGTAATCATTTGTGGCCAGGTCACTTCTAAAAAAAGAGCTGTATAGCTTAGTGGGTGATACTTGGTAAAAAATTAAAATATTCTTGGTTCTTTCGGTAAAGTCACGTAGAAGGGAAACGTCGTGAGAATTTTTATTGTTTTATATTTATATTATTTTATTATTTCCCTTCTACGTGACTTTACCGAAAGAACCAAGAATATGAATCCCTGCAGTCACGAAAGCTTTAAATAAAAAAAAAACTTGTTTAGTTTAGTACCCAGTTCACACCGTGGAAAACAAGTGATCCTCTCAGCGAATCGATTCTTCAAACTTTTATCCGAGGAATCCGCTCCTGACCACCCACCTAAAAATCAATTATGAATCGTACGTAATCCCCTCGGTTCTTTGGAACTGTACTGCGCTGCTAATAAATAAAATGCATTTCTCCAAAGGGAGACGACATGTGGTCTCGAAGGGTTTTCACCCGGTTGAATAAAGCATTTGATCGCGATAGCGTCGTTCATTACAGTCGGCAACACAGGCAAAAGTTGCGATGTTGTGAATTTCTTATACAATGCTCAGCATCAGTTACACCCCACAACGCGGACACGTATAGCAACATCATAAGTGTCTCGAGCAGCGGTCAGAATGGCCCGTGTTTATTTATGATTGAGCGCAGTTCAGAACTATGGTGTTTTTGAAGTGAGAGACTACGGCAAAATACAATTGTGCACATTTTATCGGTAACTATAATCAATTAGAACGCTACGCAGATACAAAGCTTGTTGGTGACACGTGACCATTTCACCAATCTGTTTTCGGTCAGAGACTTTGCGCACGGAAAAATATCTTCCGATCCTATGACTCGCGCTCACACATCTTCTTCATACACGAGCGTCCAGGCAGTGATGCGGTGTTCTGTATGACATTTCTACCTTGAGTATGAAGTCTTACTCGCTTTTAGAGGCTTTGCTGGCCGAAAATATACGAGTATGTGTGTTTCCATCTTACATTTTTTATGACTGGCAAATATCCATCCCTGGGATGTTTGTAGACTATTACAATGAGAAATTGATCAACACCTTATAAACAACCAGAATTCTGCCGTTTCTTGTTGAATAACCAGTAAGATCAGTGGTCTATACATGTACAGCATATGTCACATTTTATATACTTTCTCAATGGCATGAGTATATGGACTCTGTCAGTAGAATGTGTTATACAGTAAGAATTTCCATTCATTGACAGATATAAACATTGTCATGAGTATGGCTCTGTAAGTCTAATGGCATGCTGTTCTTCATTGTAGCAATTCTGCTAAAATCATCTGACAGCTGCTGTCTTCTCTGAGTTCCAATCCCACACAATATGAAATTCAAATTGATTGTCTGAGCATTATCCAAAATAATGAGGGGCGATGAGCTGATTGCTGAAGGCATTTCTTTTAAATCCACACGTTTTGTTTCATTTTCCAGTCGTTTTGACGTCTTATAGGGGGGAAAAAGAGTAGCGACAAAGTTTTTCACCAGATATTGAATGAATTTGACTTTTTTTTAATATCGACACCAAAAATCATTTGTCAAATAAAGTAAAAATACGTCTATAACCATTCTTTTGAAACTCCACGCGGTACACTTTTCTCTGTGCCATGAGCAAAGCTGATGAATGTGTGCACAAATGATCAAAGTGTTTCCTTTATATATTTCCTTTAAACTGTTTCGGAGAGTAGACCAGCGCAAATACTATGGGGTTTGCACATTCAATCCGAAGAAATATTTACAATCCACTCGGTGTGCAAAACGTCAGTATAATCTGATAGCCTGCATTTCTGCTGTTTATTTATTTATTTAATCCAGTCAGTGTCAAGTCAAAACCGGGTGTACAAAAATAATCACGTGACTTCTAGTCTATATCGAGAGAGTGAATTTGAACGCAGCACGGCCGTTACATTTGCCGAATAATATTTTCCTTCATTGTTTTTCTTACACTCTTTTGTAATGTTTCCACTCTAAGCCACTTTCTTGCACGCGTTATTGTCTCTCCATTCGTTAACTTTGCGGGTTGATCGTTGCGCCAGAGGACCAAGGGGACAGCCCTGGCTGGGAATAACATCAGCAGTGCAGGATCTTAATGAAGGCCTTGCGGAACTCTATGTTAAAGGTGGTGTAGATGATGGGGTTGACCGCGCTGTTCACGTATCCCAGCCAGGTGGTCGCGCTGTACAGGGCTGGCGGAATGTAACAAGTCTTGCAGTGGACATTGAGGATGTGGGTGATGAAGAAGGGCATCCAGCAGACGATAAAGACCCCTGAAAGGAAACACGGCAAAGCAACGTTTAGGGCAGAGAACCATTACGGTTCAAGGGGGCACTCTTTCGCAATCTTCCGCGGGAGATGTCTGGGCATATATTAGGGGACGTGCGAACGACTTTTTGAGAATAATGTAATCAAGTCACGTTTTTTTGTTCGTTCAAAAACGGCGGTCACGGTGTGTTCCGCACAGGTGTCACGAAGCAATGGTGAAGTTACCGCAGCGCTTGTGCCAGGCTAAGTGTACTCTGGAGCCAGGTGAAGTGTCGAAGGCCAGCTACTCAGGTGTACGTATGTATGTTGCACTTATTTCTCACCGCACGTGGCCAACCCTGCTAATCGGAGGTGTAGTTTAGATGCGGTTCACTGGTAAGAGTGATGCTTTCATGCTTGGGCACTTTTTTAAGACAAGTTGCATGTTGGCATGTATATTTATATTTAACCCATGACCAAATCACCTGGAATGTGCCTGGTGTCATCATATCTTCAGAATCGTGCATCCAAAAATGGGAGGGGTGGGGCTGGGTGGAGAGGGGAGGGTGGGGAGGGGCTGGGTGGGGAGGGTGGGGAGGGGCTGGGTGGGGAGGGTGGGGCTGGGTGGGGGGTGGGAGGGGTGGAGCTGGGTGGGGAGGGGCTGGTCACCCCGTGGTGCCCTTATAAAACTCAACGTTTAACCTACTCACGCCGGCTTGTGCCCGCCCTCACAGTCGGGCATATTTGCGGAATACACCACGCCGCCGTTGACCCTGGCCATTGACTGAGCAACCCAACGTTCCTACCAGCTCCCTCCGCAGGAATGTGTTTTATCTTACCAGGTAAAGCCCACTGAGCTATTAGGTTATTTTTCAAAAGCGACGTGGCCACAAACGATAGCTCAACAAAGTGACTTATCACGTAGAAATTTAAAGCAGCAAAATAATCTAAATCTAAATGCATGTTTCTTTTGAAGTTAAGTAGAGATGAGCCTGGATAGTGCTTGGATGGGCGGTCACCAAACATAATAATTGTTTTAGGCTTCGGGACTATAACGCGAGCAGTAATAGACCGTGCAGCAAATGCATTGTTATACTGTACTTCTATGCTTCCACATCTATGCTCCCGGCCTTTACTAACCCACACTGACCAGCGTGAAATGCGGTTAACATAACTCCCCATGGGCTGTAAATATAAATTGCAATGTTGAAAGAGTTTTTCTACGTCCTAGATATCTATCAAACCACGAGGCACTTTGGTTAGTTTACACGCATATCCTACAGCCTTGCTATTTTTTTCAGCAAGCTATGACAAGTCCGCTATCCGGCTCCGAAATATTTTCGACCATTTCCAAACACCGGGGTGCAGCGGTTGTGCCACAGATGGTGACGTTGATGAGTGATGTGCGAACTAGTCCCGGGCTCCCACCCTACTTCACCAACCAGTCTTGACCAGTGTGGTGAAAATCAGGTCAACAATCCCTCATGACCGACAAGGCATGGGGAGGGCATCAACATCCAGCAGGTGGGCTGTAGATTAATAACATGCGGTTCACACTTGTATTATCATATTATCATCACGCAGCATCTGAAGCATTGCATAGATTTAATTAAGATAAAATCCCCCCCCCCCCCTAATGTTAATATTAAAATAAATTCTTCAGAAAAGCTTTTGCGGATATATATAAGAGTCCACCAAAACATTTGGCCACAAATGACAGCTCGACGAAGCGACTTATCACGTGGAAATATATAGCGGCTAAATATTCTAAACGCACGTTTCTAAATCTGTAAAAACCGGAGAACCCGGAGAAAAATCGTCGTGAACACGGGGAGAACATGCAAACTCCAAATATACGGACATCGTCAGGGTCGGGATCGAGCCCACGACCTCCTGTATACCAGGCGAGGTAGTTAACATTTACTATATCCAAACATTTACGGTTTGCTGGCTTGCATTTTTGACATGTGTTTGCAGAGGAAATCATATAAACACTCAACTAAGCGGTTAAATGCGTAATGGGGTGGGTTCCACCCGGGTGCAGTATATTCGCGTTGTAACCTGCGTACAAATTCGCCCAAGTTGCTGCCCTGATTTCGTCTTCAAGATTGCAGTGGGTGCCACGGTGGCGAGATGTCAACTACCTCGTCTGGTTTACAGGAGGTTGTGGGTTCGATCTCGACCCTCACGCCTCTATATTTGGAGTTTGCATGTTCTCCCCGTGGTTGTGTGGATTTTTTTCCGGGTCCTCCGGTTTTTCCCTCCACATTTAGAAAAATGCGTTTAGAGTATCTGGATGCTCTCGACTTGCACGTAATAAGCCACCTCGTTTAGCTATCATTTGTGGCCTGGTCACTTCTGAAAAGAGCTACATAGCTCAGTGGGCCTTACCTGGTAAAATAAAAATAGCTTTATTTTTCTTCTTGCAATAACGAATCGCACTGCGGACCAGTCATCCCGCCCAAGAGTGGCAGGTGTTACCTTTTCTTGCGTTAACAGCTCACGTTATGGAACATAATATTGAAATTAATAACCACGACGACTTTAAATTTCGATTTTAAGCTTTCGTGACTGCAGGGATTCATCTTCTCGGTTCTTTCGGTAAAGTCTTCTACGTGACTTTACCGAAAGAACCAAGAACACGACGACTTTGTTGCCTTTCCGCTGTGTTGATCTGCTCCAGCAAAGTGCCCCACTTGTCGCTCGCCGGACAGCGTTCACCCTTCGGCAGAAATTGTTTGGAAAAGGTCCCGTGCCACAAAAGTGGAAGCCACGATTTTTTAATTGATGTCTAAATTAATGGATACGAATGAAGGAAATGTGAATTAAGTGCATACACTAGCCCATGATATGTATACACAATATATATGAGTGGGAGTGGTGGTGCAGTGGTAGGCGAGGCACAATATGAACCCGGCGACCTGAGATTGATTCCTTACGTCAGTGTCGATTGCTATCTGCGCTGATCCTGGTTTCCCTCCTGCACTGTCCATCAACCAACATGGACATTATGTCGTGAGGAGGTTTTCATCCAGCGGTGGATTGACATTTACACCTACACTATACTTTATTGTAAAATATCTGCTTGTGCATTTAACTCATTTCACATAATTGAACGCCTGACAATTGGAAATACCCGTCTAAGGTGAATACGAGGTTTGCTTTATCATATGAAGTATGTTTGCCGAAGGGCATTAACCTTGGTGTACGCAAGGCACCTATGAATATACTCAGTTTAACGAGTAGGATTTCGCGACCAATATTATTCTTAATAAATATTTTTTTTGGGGGTTAGATCACGCAAGTATAAATGTGTCGAAACCCTCCACCAACCGACATGGCCTATCAGTAAGGGGTTTGTCACGTAAACAAAACGCCAAATAGTTACTATTCTGGCAAATCGCCAGATGATGCTGGATGATGTCACGGTACTCAGATTGTAAATGTTGTGGATTCACTCTTCAACACACCGGTGGGCTGAAGTAGTAACTATTTGGCGTTTTGTTAACGTGACAAATCCCTTACTAATTGGCCATGTCGGGTGGTGAAGGGTTTCGACACATTTATACCTATGCGATCTAACCCAAAAAGACCTTAATTATGAATATTAATATGCTTAATTGGGGGTCTCAGGCTTTAGGTGGATGATGGGACACAAAAGTTGCATTTATCCCACAACGTTTAGAGAAACGTCGCGCATTATGTTGCGTACCGTGATGATGGGTACAAACTTAGTAATCATTGGAAAGATGTTATCAACCACGCAAAAAAGACTTAATTACACTTTTTTGGACCATCTTATCTGACAGGCACTATTTGACTTTACTTTACCGAGTGTTAACATCCCCAGTTGTTTTTTAACAGTACCCTCTTCATTGTTCAGCCAGCATTGGTATAAACATGGGCAATTTCGTTCTTTTGTCTATCATGTGTATGAGACCTCCCCTCCCCCTCTCTGTCCATTGTGTTGGCGTGTGCAGCAGCAACCGCGTCCAAGCCGTCGTTCAATTTTTTGGCCCCCCCCCCTCCCCCTCCCGATGAGTTGTACTAACATTCTGATGAGCTCCCCCCCCCCTCTCCTCCCCCCTTCAACTTGCTTATAAGGGATTACATCTTGAATCATTGCCTCACTTGATGCAGCTAATTCGGCTGTGACGGTCCCACCTGATGACGGAGACTTGTGTTGCCTCCGAAACGTCGTGATTTTTTGTTTTATTTTATTTTATTTTCATTAATTTTGATGTTTTACCTACGTGACTTTACCGAAAAAACCTAAGAATAAGAGTGCATGTGACATTTCGCCACGGAACTGTGCAATTTTGAGAAGCCCTGAAGCCATGCACGTACAGGTGGTGCAAACCATATTGAAACCACCCCTCCCCCACAACGCATCTGTACAGATTGTGCAAGTCTGGTTATGCCAAAGGCGATCCAGGACTTCCTTCCCATGCTTATGTAATTAACTTTAATGAAGCTTGTATATGCATATCCAGAAAGAGCCCCTGTAAATGTGAAATGTTCCTGTGCTTTGTTTGTGTTAAAGGAGATCAAATAAGGATGTTTTTTTATTATTATTAAGTTATAGATTTCAACTTGGTCTGCTTATAAGTGCTTTAGGGGCAAAGTCAGTGAGCTTACAATGAGCTGAATTAATTCCTGAAAATACCTAATGAGGATATAAATAAATAAACGCCACGAGAACAGAATGTGCACAGATGTTTTTTGGAAGCAAATAATTGGAGCGGTATGATTAAATTTATGAACAGGTTCAAAACAATTTACCAAAAGCAATTCATCTTATTATACTTCTCAAAATCTCATATCGGTAAAAAAAAAGTAAAACATTTAGTTATTAAATTGCTAGCCCATGCCACTTGCTGGAAGAAGAGCCTCCAAACTGGAGAAGGTATTTGGTCTGCTCTTCCACATGGCCCAGATGCGATGGCATATGTGGGAGCAACCCACGCCTTTTCCTCACCGCTTGTGACCCGCCGATTGACTCACTGTGGTGTACTCGTTCATACTGTTTGGGTGGACAAGGATCGGGGGGGTGGGTGGGTGGGAAGGCGGTTTCATAAACTTGCACCACGGCTTTTGACCGACGTTCTGCGAGATCCATTCGAACCGGCGACCTCTGGAGATGCGAGTCCCATTGTGCCCACCATTACACCAATGCAGCATGCCATACAAATCCCCCCCAAAAAAATCCAAATCACACGAGACAGACGTCCGTGCGGTCGTAACTCACCCAGCACGATGGCCAGCATCTGAGTCGCTTTCTTCTCTCTCTGTTGCGAAAAATTCCGATTGGCCGCCACCACCTTGAGGGAAGTGCGCATCTGACCGTTGGGCAGCTGCTGCGTTTCGAACGCCACCTTGAGGACGTTGCGGCAAGCTTGGCCGCCGTCGGGCCTCTCCCCGTCGGGCCGATCGCCGCCGTGGGGGCGGCCGCCGTTGAGCTGGTCGCCCTTCGGCTGGGCGCCGTTGACTCGCTCGCCGTCGGCCTCCAGCGAGGCTCCGTCCGCGGGGGCGACGTCGGTTTCCTCGGCCAGCGTGTCGTGGCGGTACGAGGGCGGAGCGGGGGCCACAAGGCGCTGCTGCTGGTGGTGGCCGAGCGAGTGTTGCTGGCTCGCCGGTTGCTGCTGCTGCTGGTGCAGCTGTTTGATGCTCTTGCCCACAAGGGATTTTTTTGCTTTTCGAGAGAGTGGTGGGGACATGTATGACTCGAGCTCCATCTCTTCAGGTTGAGCAAGTTCTTCCTGCAAGGGAGGGCAATGCACAGCGCCTCTTTATATATTTATAAAACAATTACATTGGAAATACAAATAAAATAGTAGATTAAGCCGTTATGAAATTGTATTTCATAGGTTCGGGCAGTGCAGTCTATCTAAATCAGTGTCATTACAATCACGTGTTAAATGCCTCTGGATTCACTTTAATAGATTCCATCTTGCAGTCCTTACAGTGTCCCTTCAACAATTATAGACAATTATTTCCACGGGCACATTCGTAGGTATTTAAAAGATACTCAAGAATAACAATTCCCAATTGGATTTTGAAAAATCACCAGCTTTTAATGTAGGCTGCAGTTATGTAGTCAAATACTTATAAATACCTTCTTTGGATGAAACAATTAGATTGGTAAATCCGTAATTTTTTAAAAAGACTTTAGTTAATCCTGCATAATTTAAGTTTTAATCCATGTAAAAAAATATTCATCACAATGGGGTCAGGTTATGGATGTTGCTTCTCATAACTGCTGGCCCATTCAGAGGAATTATCCTTCATAATAGAGCCGGGAGGTTATGCTCTTTTTTGAGAAATAAAGACTTTCCCACGAATGTAATTGGATTTTTTAAATAACTAATCTCAATTTATTTACCAATTGCACAGTAGAAATGAGTTAACGTGGTGTGCATTTTACTCTACATGTGATTATTTTAAAGGGGCCAAGGAAATGAGCGCGATCATAAAGACTCGCAATTATATTTATAAATCGCTTTTATGAAATGTCCCAATATGCCTAAAATTAAATCGATAAAATTCCAAACTATGTTAAGGACAATGCATCACAGTAGTCACGTGCGAATTGATTGTTGAAATAGTAAACTCGACGTAAGAGTAAACTATTAAAACAATTGTAATTTAGAATTGTCAAGAATGCATTACATTAATATTTGATGTAACAATATAAGATTAAACGATTTCAATTGCAATGGTGTGCTATTTTACAACTTATTATTTCACCATTGGTACCTCATTTGCCAGTAAAAAATATGATAATTGTTTTTTTACCCTTTTATCTGCCAACAAAACTGACACCTTTTTTACGAGGAGTCATGTTTGCATAGACCACAATACCTGCAGTCATAATGCAAACAAAAAACAGTGCGCCTTTTGGCGTCATCTGGTCCAACCCATGTGAGACTAGGCTCTAAGGAAAGCTGTCTCAGGTGTGGACCAATCAACTTCAAGGACAGTGCATACATTATCAGAGTTATGTTTTTTGTTTGCATTATGACTGCAGGTATTGTGGTCTATGCAAACATGACTCCTCGTAAAAAAGGTGTCAGTTTTGTTGGCAGATAAAAGGGTAAAAAAACAATTATCAACTTATTATTTGCCAGGAAATGAGGTCATTTATTAAATCCTTTATATTAAGTTCACTTGCTTGCGTGCTTGCTTGCTTGCTTACGACCGTGCAAATCTTTCGGTCGTTTTTTAACCCACTTCCCGTGATCCAATCGAGCTGACATTTTGCACACAGACTCGTTGTGCGTGACAATTAATTTTCGTGAAAAAGAAATTCCCAAATTTTACAGTTTATGGAAAAATAATTAAATATTTAATTACCAATCGCTTAATGGTGGCAGACAATCATCTGATCCCATAGGTGGTAGCCATCTCAAGCCAGAGGACGAGAGGACTCTAGCCGCCCCGATGCCACGCATATAAAGGATTTATAGTGAAAAACTTAGTTTTTACGGGTTAATTTTACACATTCTCGATCCCCCTGCCACATCAGCCTGCTGAAGATGAGGAAACCTTAATTCAGCAGTGGATTGATGATGGGCTGTAAACAATTGTATCTATTTATTGTGTCACTAAATGTAATATCCGACAGTCATTTATGAAACTAAGACCTACAGGTAATAATTTGAATGTACTGAAAGTACATATCCAGTATAGCACGTATAAACTAAACTAAAACTCAACTTTTTTTTTTATTTTACCAGGTAAGGCCCCACTGAGGTATATATCTTTTTTTCAGAAGTGACCTCGCCACCACGAATCACAGCTCAACGAAGTGGCTCATTTTTCGATTTAAAGCTTTCGTGACTGCAAGGATTCATCTTCTTGGTTCTTTCGGTAAAGTCACGTAGAAGGGAAATAATAAAATAATAAAAATAAAACATAATAAAATACAATTCTCACGACGTTTCGGCCACAACGCAAGCAGCCGTCCTCAGGTGAAGAACAGGTCTGTCGGAAAGACAGCGTCTTATTTTATTATTTCCCTTTTACGTGACTTTACCGAAAGAACCAAGAAGAAGTGGCTCATCATGTGGACATTGATAGGAGCCAAATGCTCGAGAATCTAAACGCATGATTCTAAATGTGATGTACGAAGAAGGAGCAAGCAAAACTTACGACATTTTTCTTTGAGGAGGCAAAGTTGCCGTTGTTAGCACAGACGATTGTGCAAAGCTTGACATCTTCAGGATGAGTGCATTTTACCTGGATTAAAAAAAACAACAACCCACAAATGAGTTATCACACAGACTTTCATGAGACATTCACGGGTGTAAAAAATAGTAGACATTTTAAATTGTTAAGTATCCCTCATTACACATTACATTTCTCGAGTGAAACTCTTTATAATACTGCAGTGATGCATCATGGGCGATGCAAGGGTCTATCTGAAAAGTATAATTATATACAGCATTTCAGTAATGAATGTGTCACTGCATCAATGTTCTAATTCAAAGCTATATATAAGTGAGATAAACAGCTCCCATTTTTATACTGTACAGTCTGTTGGGGCAAAAGCTGTTAGCAGGCACTAATTAAGACCAGCATGTTACAGGAGTGGGTGATGTGCTTAGCGCTATGCCAACCACTTTTCGTCTCCTCAGTACTGATCCTGGCATGCCACATCAGGTTTATTTCTTTAGGATATGTCCACCTTAGGGAGACCTTATACAGATTTAGATACAAATGGGCCATAGTGCACAAGGCAGTAATTTAAAACAAGTCCCTGAAGTCATTGTATAGTACAAAACAAAATATGTTGTAAAATATACATTTGACTAATGGATTAATATTGTATTTTATTTATGGATAGCATTAGCTTAGATAACGGCAAATGTGCACTTTGGTTCACTACAGCTACAGTACAATCGACTGATGACCACTGCCAAAGCATGTCACATTTAAATATAGTATCAATGTTAACGCAGTATATTAACTGGCAATCTGTATAAGAACATCTCCAAATATGTAATTGGGGTTTTTAAATACACTTTGTTACTGAAGTCTCGTTCACTGATCAGAGAATGATAATTTGATTCTTAATCTGTAGTTTCCAGAATATAAGTCAAAGCAATTTGGACGAAAATGTTGACTCGTGAACTGCTGCTTGAATTTTTTTACATTGCAGACTTTTTGATATAATTTAAGCTGTTTCATGAATGTCTGGAATTTTATTTTGCAAGACTTATAAATAATTGTAACAAAGTTTGTCCCAGCACAAATAAATGAAGCTGTACCTTTACTGTAAAGTGTGTTGCATTTACTTTCATATGTATTGCTCTACTCTTACAAAATGTTGGCTTAAAGATGCCATTTGACAAGTGAAAGCCTTCCAAAAACGAATAAATCATATGTTTATAATTCAGTCTGCCATACTAAGTCCACCTTATTAATTTTGTCATAATTTTACATGTTCTAGGCGCGTGTTTTATCCCCCTTCCGCCAAAGTATGCATGTATGTTGGACTTCTTTCGCACCGTACGTTGCCAACTATGCTAATCGGCGATGCAGGGAAAGGGCAACAAACTAAACACAAAACGCAGGTCTGAATAAATTAGTTTTTTGTTTAGTCTACTTGACCATGCAGTCCTTATGCATCTTAACATCCTTATATGAGCCCAAGTAAATTATATACGTGCACAAGGAGATATTTAACAGAATAGTAACATTAGAGAACTTGCAAGAAAAATCTGAAAAAGTTGACAATGTCAACATCCAACGTTTGAAGAATATCATTGTTACTGTTAGTTTCAAATGGTGAAATCCTGTGATGGATCAGACGGCTTGCCACAATACAGGTGTTCCTCCCTACGTACGGGTATAGTTTTGTCCAATTCCGCATATATGCAGCGAGCCTGTTTGTACCCAAAATGTGCCAAATGTGGTTTGTATTCACACATGATACGGAGCTTTACAGCCGGATATGAGGCAACATCGTGCTTACTGTGTGCGCTACTCGGCAGGGCAGCTGTCTCATGCAATTTTGGTTTGCCTGCTCTTTGTTTAGGAACGCACGTTCCCACGTGAAGCAAAGGAAACGTGCCTTTCAATAGTTTCACGAAGGATTGTGTGATTTGACCAAGAATCATGTATGCCGACTGCCTTAGTAAAATTAGTTTACAAACCAGACAAAAAAAAACCGTTCTAAACTGCGAAGAGTTTTAAAGTGAATGTATATCTTCTAAAATAAATTGAATATTCTAGATTTGAAGTTTTCGTGACTGCAAGGATCCATACTTTTAGTTTTTTTCGGTAAAGTCATGTAGGTAAAATTTTTATTAAAATGAAAACAACTAAATTAAATCACGACGTTTCGGAAGCAACACAAGCTTCCGTCTTCAGGTGGAACTGCCACCGCAAAATTACTGTAGTGAAAGTAAGACAGAGGCTTGTGTTGCTTCCGAAACGTCGTGATTTAATTTAGTTGTTTTCATTTTAATTTCTTTTATTTTTTGCCTACGTGACTTTACCGAAAAAAACTAAAAGTAGAAATTGAATACATTTCTGCATGCATGAGGTGTGATAATGTGAAGAAGATGCGTAATAAATACACGCGTGGCAGTAGAGTTTAGACTCACCCTTAAGAAGCAATGTTTAACATTGACAAGGTGAAGAAACTTTCAAGGGAGAAAACTTTAAATTATCGGAATAACATGTTTTCTCGAGATACTGATTGATTTCCCAAAGCCAAGGACAAGCTATTGGTTGCCGTGATTGTGTGTGTGCCAGTCCTCCTTGTTGGGGCTATTAAAGTTCTCAATGCTGAAGTGAGGCTCATATCAAGAAAGGATATCTTCCCTGTAGAAATGGCATAAAAAAAAGTACATTTACAGAATACATAGGATCCTGCAGAATGCAAGGTTGTTGTACCTTCTGGGAGAACAGATGTTTTTTTTATCATCAAAGTGTGTCTTTGAAAAGGGAATCTTGCTTTATTATGGCTTTATGGTGTGCATGCACAAATGAAGCTATAATCTGTGTTGGGTGCGATTTCACATCTCGTCTGGTTTGGGGAGTATAATTATGGCCGTTTTTTGAGGACATCAGCAACTAATGACCAACAATCAACAACAAAAACAAGCTCTCTAATTCGTATCTCGTTGGTAATTATATCAGCCGAAGCTGTGAGTGAAAATGCCGCCCAAGTGGGTGTTGGTTAAGGTGATCGGATAGAATGGCTAAAGCGATCTCTGGTTGAGCCGAGGAAAGGTGTTAAACATTGGCTCGCAGTAGGCCCAGCCTCTACAGCTGTGGAGCCAGGGTTGGGTGGCCATGTGGCGCGATGTTAACTACCTCACCTGATATACAGGAGGTTGTGGGTTCCATCCTGACCCTGACGCGTATATATTTGGAGTTTGCATGTCTCTCTCTCTCCCTGTGGTCACGTGGCATTTTCCTCCGGGTCCTCTGGTTTTTTACCTCCACATTGAGAATCAATGTGCGTTTACAATATTTGGCTGATATAAATGTCCACACGATAAGCCACTTTGTTGCTTTGTTACGCTATCATTTGCGATGGCCAGGTCGCTTCTGAAAAAGAGCTACGTAGCTCAGTGGGGCCTTACCTAGGGGGAAAAATAAACCTGACACAGAAAGGAAGTTAGATGACCCGAGAGGTAGGCCGGAGATGAATGGCAAGACGAAAACCAAGATGGGACATTTTGAATGTCTGGACACTCTACTAACCAGGGAAGGGAGGGGATGCTTCCTGGTATGCTGAAATGGCACAACGTCACAATTTCTAGGGCAAGTTAAACTGGGTGGATTGACTCAGGTACGGCCCAGCTTGAGGATTATACACAGCCTGTGGTATAAGTATCGGCAGCGTCAGGAAAGAGTAAAGATTTCCACTCATAACAGGACAGCGAAGTCCACGACCAAATAAACATCAGAGGTGGGTGTTTGCAATTCTTGTGAACTTTACAGAAGATCAGTTACTCAGAACAAGACACTGAGACGCTTTGGGAAGGCTTTGATAATTGTAGTTGAGAGAGCATAAACAACAGCCGAATTTCTAGATGGTAATAGGTTAGGAATAAGGATGAGTAGATAAGAACTTAAATTGAAGAAGCCATGCATAGGGCTTGAGAAGGGAAGCAGCAATTGCTTCATGAGAACAAACGAGAGAGCTGGGGAGGATGCAGGCTAAGCTGAAGGAAAGCAGGAATTACATGAGAGAGAGAAAACTATCGCAGGATTAAATTATTTTTTTACTATTGTGTTTTTTTTAACCATGTAAGAACCACTGAGCTATATATGTAGCTCTTTTTTTTCAGAAGCGATCTGGCCACATTTAATAGCTCCAACGCAGTGGCTAATCCTGGAGACATTTACAGCAGCCAAATACTCTAAAAGGCATGTCTTGAGTGTTGGCACCGCAAGTGGAGGAGGTTGAAGATGCTTCGAGTAAGAAGGGCAGCAAGCAAAAGTTGCTTTCATGTGGTCAAACAATTGTGTTGTGAGAAAATGTCCAAATAATACAGGGTTAGAGCCAGGTATGGTAGGGATGGCAGTAAGGCTTAAAACGGAGTGGACAGTGCTCGACAGCTAGATCTATGGCGAAACATTATTTTTCACCAGATTTTAAACGAGGAGTCCATCGACTCGTTAGGCCCATAGAGGGACATCGGGCAGCAGCAGCAGCAGAAGGAAGTTTCTCCGCAGAATTGAGAGGTTATGGAAGAAATGAAGAAAAGAGGTAACCCCCCCCTGTCAGAGGTCAAAACAGCAGTGAAGCAGAACAAATCGGGTAAGGCATCAACAAACATGTGGCGTTACCGTTGAGATGCTGAAAGAAGGAAAGGTGTTCGTCAAGGTTGTATTTTGTCTCTCATGTTTTTTTAATGTTGTGCTTGACTGTGCATTCACTAAAACCACACAGGAAAAAACCACAGGAATCAATAGAGGTGGGATAAATGTGTGGGACTTGGGAGTATGCCGATGATGCAGATTTGATGGCTCGGACTATCAACAGCCATGAACCTCATTGGACCTCCTTTGCCAGTACCAAAATACAATAACAGTGTTTTTCCCCTTTTTTCTGGCAACAAAACTGAAACCTTGTTACAAGGATTCATGTCTGCATTAACCACAATACTTGCAGTCAAATGCAAACAAAAACACACTATGATAATATATGCATTGTCCTTGAAACTGATTGGTCCACACCAAGGGATGGCTTTCTTTTGAGCCTCGACCCAATCGGTGCTCGACCAGAGGACGTCAAAAGGCGTACTCTGGTCGTCTGGTCGAGCACCAATCGGATCGAGGCTCAAACTAAAGCCGTCCCTTGGGGAAAAACCCCATTATTAGCCATGAACCTGTTAATGGTCTTAGGCACTGAGTCTGCATACTCGGGTCTTAAGATAAGCCTCCCTAACAGAAAGTTAAAGGTGGTGGTGGTGGTGTAGTCAGCCACAAGGCTTCTGTAGTTGGATCGCAAGAAATGTCCTTTATGCAGGTAGCTGTGAGGAGGTCAAGAGGTGTAGTAGCAGGCAAGGTTATTGACGTGCTATGGAAGTCACTTGGAAAGCGAGCAGATATACGTCTGAGTGTAAAGGAAAGGTTACTGGAGACAAGAATGCAAACTCAATTAATGTTATGGGTCAGATGCCTGGACTCTTAACGGAGCAGTTCCAAAAGAAGCTTTGGACAACTTCTTGGTTCTTTCGGTAAAGTCACGTGGAGAACAGGTCTGTCGAGGAGACAGACTCTGTCTCCTCGACAGACCTGTTCTCCATCTGAAGACGACTGCTTGCGTTGTGGCCGAAACGTCGTGAGAATTATTTTATTATGTTTTATTTTTATTATTGTATTATTTTCTTTCTACGTGACTTTACCGAAAGAACCAAGAAGATGAATCCCTGCAGTCACGAAAGCTTTGAATCGAAATGCTTTGGACATTTGAGCGCAGCCTGTCTGAGATGGTCGCTTGTAATTTCATGGCAAGATAGGGTACGTAATGTAGGGCTCTGGAAGAGGACATGGCAGGTAAAGTTGCGGGTATGATTAGGCAAATTATGGCTGCATGAAGGATGTGCCAGCGAGGTGTGGTAAAATAAACAACATTGATTTTTTGTTTTGTTCTCGATCACAGTGACATAGAGGCACATGTTGTTTCTTATTTCTCGGTATTATGGATCCACACAGATTTGTGAAACTTTCAAACCCGCTGCGCTGCAAGCTGGCTAGGAAATGGCAGTGCAGCAAGTGGATATGGATAAATATTCTGATTCTAGATTCTGGAATTCATCCGTGGATACCTTTGAGTGCTAACCCTTTGGCATGTGTGTGGGCTTTCTCTGGTTTCCTGCCACAGCCAAGAGCATCGGGATGCGGTACTCTACTGAAAAAAATCATCCCTGACACTCATTGAGGCTTTTGTGAATAACCACTAGGCAATTCATGAGAGATTTCGCGATATGATGTTTTTCGGGTTAGATCGCGTAAAAATGTCAATGCGTCGTGCATCCACCCTCCGTCTGACGCAGAGCCAATCATTGGCATGTTTTGCTAATGTCCTGACAAACCTTACCAATCAGCTGTGTCGGGTGGAGGTGGGTGTGCGACACATTTACATTTTTACACGATCTAACTGAACAAAACTTTATCGTGAAAAACATTGGCCGTGAAAGCCTGCGTGTTAAATCATCGGCGTTTGTACGTGAAATATGTAATCTCTCATGAGATGTTTATCTAAAATATACGATATAAATTTGTTGTCTCCGTTTATCTAACATCTCATACGCAACCAAATGAATACAAAAATAGAATGAATCAAAAGGACAGGCAATATAAATATTTCAATGCTGGGTCATCTAATTAGTTGTAAGCATATTGCACCTCTTGGTTAGGGGCTAGGTTGAGCTGTTTGGGGAACAGGGCATCTGTGTTTCGTAGCAAAGCAGGTACCAGCACACTGCTCGCTGTGCCTGCTGTCACATTCGACATCAATTTGTCGTATATGCCAACGGTTTGCAGTGGCTGACCTATACTCATGGGTCTATTTTGCCTCACCGGTTTACCCTACAGTATGATGCGGTTGCGCTGGGCTTCCTATTTAAAAACATTCAAAGTGATTGTTTCCCCCTTCCACACAATTTTGCAGATTGGATCTAAACAAATACGTGAAATAAACAACAAGAAACTTCCGTTTAGGCTATAGAAACACGATGGCAGTCGTAACAAAATATACTGATGCGTGTTCCATTCGTTCATAAACAGCATGGGGAATTTAAAATTAAAAAAATGTAACAGCAGACCAACGAAATAGCTGTATCGTTGCTGGGGAAAGAGGGAAAAGAATGATCAAAATAACATACAGGACAAATATGCCACGTGACTCCTGTCCTGTGGCTCACTGGAAATGTCAACCCTTGACGACAAGACAACCAGTGGCGCATTATTCTCATCGCCGAAAAACCGGTCGCAGAAACGCCGTCTGGGCCAATCTCATACCCGCCGCCTGTAGACATTCGCCAATTACGGCTGCATAACAGTCACGGCTTTCCAGAGCTCGTTCTGATATATTATTAATATTTTTTTTATTTTGCTTGTTCCGAGGAGTAGCTACAACTGGCCTGTAAAGCCAACTGGGGGGGGGGGGGTGTAACGGGGCATCGATTCGTCGATTCGATTCTACGGTATCTTTGTGTTTTTTTATTCGTGCAAAAACGTATTTTTTGTATAATGATATGCTGAGGGTAAATGAGGGTAAATGAGGGTAAATGGAGCAAACACACCCGTATGGACGAGATGGAATAAATGAGAATACAAATGAGATGGTAAAAATGGGAATGCACAAATGATCACTCTGGGGTGGAGGAGGGGTGATTCATTTCACTTCAACTAATCCGCTTTTAGCAGCAAAGGTATGTCACAAAACATGGGTATAAGACAGAGGAAGGCATCATTGTAACTTGAATTAAATCATCACCTGAATTTGTCTGACATGGTGGATATTTTTTTGGATAACATTATCTGTGGATGGGCTCACAAATGGATTATCAAATCGCTCTGCACGGGGATCTCATCAGTGACTCAAACATATATCTTATTGCCATTTATAAAGCATTCCACACATCACCAGGACATGTGTAATAACTAATGGCCATGGCTAGAACACTTAATTACAGTGGCATTTTGTTCTTCGTCATTCCAAAAAACTATTTTGATAAAGAGTGTCACGTTCAATTCATAAGCTGCCCTTAAAATTGAGAAATGCCTTAGTGATGCATTATAGAATATTTACCGAGGTTGAATCTGAGTTGATTGATAACATTTGCTAACGTTATTTATCAACATATATTATCAAGACATCAGATTTGTGTTTGCAGGTGGAGTGATTATTTAGTGGTTATCACACCCGTGATGAATCCTGCTACCTGCGTTTGATTCTTGGCCACAGCTAACATCAGTGGCGAGTAATATCTGGACTAGTCTGGGCCCCTGTTCCACAACATTCATCATGAAGTATCATCAAAAAATCTCCATATCTAACACGGCTTGGGGAAGCCTTCACCCAACATTACATTGAAGAAAGGGCTGCAAATCTTTATACGTGTATTTGAGGGGATATATTCGTGTCATTTTACCATCTTCTTACTGCACAACTTGTGAATGTGGATATTGAGGTTCGAATATACAAAGGTAGAACAATTTAAAGTACATGTACAAGACTATTTGTCATAACAGAACTGTGTAATAATTGATGTTGCGTTGGGTGGTGGAGGGTGTACGACACACATTTTACTTGTGTTTTAGTTGAATAACCGTATACGATAAGAATAGCGCAAATACTAAATGTACGAACAATCTGATTTGAAGGGGCATACATATGCAGAGGCCACAGCATGTTACGTCAGAATCAAAACCATACCAAGGATTGGTCCAGGCGTGGCTTTGGCCGAAGCTTCTAAATGTCACGGGAACGCAGTGTGCACGGATGCTGAGAGGGCAGGGTCCATCAGTGGGCCATACAGGACTTAAATAAAACATATCTTAGAGTTTTTAAGATCGCGTGCCGTCAGGGGGACCCTTCCCCTGTGCCGAAAGGGCCTCACCTGGCCCTGGCGGCGCACGTGGTGTTCGCCAGTGGGCTTGATGCAGCCGCCGCGCTTGGCGTTGACCCTTTTGCGCCGCTTGCGCAGGACCACGTAGATCTGCACGTAGACGAGCAGCGTGACGATGAAGGGCACGTAGAAGGACACGATGGACGAGTAGAGCACGAAGGCGGGGTTGGCAATCACGCAGGCGTCGTCATCGCGCGTGGCTGAGGAGGGGGGGGGAAAGAGGGCTGAGTTCCCCCACGGCGAGACCCGGCAACAGAACAAAGATCGGGGACATGGGCGGCACGTACGAGCGCTACTTGCGGAATTCCCGTAAAGCGACCGACCGTGCGACGTGCTCGCGTAACAGACATTGTGTTGCGTCGAGGGTTAAACCGTTGCACGCCCGTCACCCCCCGCCACCCATCTCTCTCTCTCTTCCAGCGCTGACGTCCATGAGGAATGACCAGACGAGCGTCAATCACCACTGATTGTTAGGTTCGTCCGGCCCATTTACATGCATTATTAGTCTTAGGTACGACACAAAGGCTTTTCTAACTCACTCGTAACTACATAATTTTTGGGATGTGAAAGCAGGCTGTCTTGCATCGCATAATGAGGTCAAATGAGATGCAGAGTTTATGCACGAAGAAAGGGGGAGCAGGAGGGGGAGATATTTAAGGGAATAAAGGGCTGACCTCCAAATCATCGGCTTGGACCAATACCGTATAATGACAATTTAGAAACAGACCACGCCACTCCATAGGCAGTCTCCACTGCACTGAGGACTGAAGAAGTTGGCCATTTGTAGAATGCAAATTTCGAATTAGGATGTAAAAATGGGAATTATCATGTCTTCTTCCTCTTCATGACGGCTGAGCAGAATGATCTGAGAGACTGCAAAGGTAAAAAAACAAGTAAAACTAGAAGGGAAATCGTGAGAAAGAGGTTTAAAAAATAGAATAACTGCAGTCAAAATGACAGAAGGAAAAAAAGCGCCACGGAGATTTTGACAGATTCTGTGCCGGTGGGGAAATATTGTCCATGTTTTATTGGAATGCTTTAAAACATCATTCTTTTGAATGGTTCATTTTAAGATTTCCCTAGTGCTCCCTTGAGTGATTTTGAGCCAACCCTCCATCAAAAAAGGGAGAAAACTTGTCAAAGAAATGTAATCAACATCAGGCAAGCTCAGGACTACACGCTTGGTTTGAGTGTCCAAAGCCTTACCAATAATTCCTCCACGGTTTTACCTGTCTAGAGTTGGGCATCATAGTAATTGTGTTTTATACGTTTAAAACACAGGACTATGTGTGCGCTGTAGGACTCGAAACCGACGAGTTTGCTCACAAAATGTGTTTACTCAATTTGTTTCAAACAAAAAACACCCAATTTGCAAGATGTGAAAAAAACGGTAGTGTGTCTAGATTTGAAGCTTTCGTGACTGCAAGGATTCATACTCTTAGTTCTTTCGGTAAAGTCACGTAGGTAAAAAATGAAATTAAAATTAATGATTTATATTTTTATTATTATTGTTATTTTATTTTTTATTAATTTTAAATTCATTTTTTACCTACGTGACTTTACCGAAATAACTAAGAGTATAGGTAGTGTGTCTCTCTTTTCTAATTGTCTACCTTTTGTGTTCAATCGCTCTTTAAGGTGTACTCTCATCCTGCGGACTCCTTTGCAACGGTGGTGTCCACAGTCACACCGTTAAATGAAATAGGCTCCAGCATCGCATTGAGGACAAGAACAATATGTCATCCATCTTCTGGGTTCTTTCGGTAAAGTCACGTAGAAGGGAAATAATAAAATAAAATTATAAAAATTATATTATGTTATTTTATTATATAAGTTTATTATGTTTAATTTGTATTATTTTATTATTTCCCTTCTACGTGACTTTACCGAAAGAACCAAGAAGATGAATCCCTGCAGTCACGAAAGCTTCAAATCGAAATTGTCATCCACTTCTTTAGCCGTGGCCACTTCAGCCAGACACAGTACGCATTTGCTTAAGTGTGCTCTCTCCTCTTTGGTAGACCAGCTCCAATCTACGTTGGCAAAACGGCGAAATAGTTGTACTTCTGTTTCACTCACCGTGCTCTGCAATGAATTAAATAACTGGATACTGTTGCCCCAAAACATCCCGCTGTTCTCTGTACTAAAACAAAAACGTATTTACGTGAAATGCGTGTTGGCAATGTGGTGCAGCGTTGGCACCGTGGTTATTACACTGTGCTATGAAAGCCGGCCACCCGAGTTTGATTCCTGACCCCTGCTATCAGGGACGAGGGGTTTCTAAACCGGTCCTGCGCTTACCCCCCCCCCACCCACCCCCGCCAAACCACACTAACTAGTGTGGGGTAGTACGGTCAAATATCCTCATGACCCACATTGCATGGGGAGGCCTTCATCCAGCAGAGGATTGCTAAAGGCCTATGGAGTTTGAATATTGTTAAAGCCAAAAAACTAAGGAAATAAACAGCACTGTTGCAATGCAGGGTGTTGATTTACATCAATCATTTACTCTTTTTGTCTTATTTTTAACCTCTCTTTTGCATTTTTTGAGTTTGTTTCCACTGTCATTTGTACAGTGTATGTCATTCGCGAAATGTAACAATGTAAAATAATGATTTTCATATTGTCTACGTAAACGTTAAGAATAAAATCTCTCACTCATCGTTCGACGCATTTTTTATGAGCATAGTGATTTATTCCAATTATGCATAACAGATATTAATTGATAGTTTGGTGTTTATTATTATTATGCAACATTTGTAAACAGTATTACATTTCAACTGTGGAATTCTTTGCCCGATTGCCTCAGGAGATTTTGCGCACAGTGGATAATTATTTTAAATCAAGGTATGAGACCTATTTCTATAACTTGGCCTTGTGATTTAATTCTACAATCTTTTGATTATTTTACTGTAATATAATTGTTTCCTTTTCTTTATGTATATATTGTTTTACGAGTTAATTTGTTTTGTCCCACGCTCGCTGTTGTTTTTAGAACATTTTGACATCGTTAATGTTTTATCTTAACTTTTTATGAAGTGGCCGTGAACCTTGTGGGGTATGCAAGGCAATCGACAAATAAAGATCATTCTGATTGTTCTCTTAATGCGAAAAGTACAACCGACAAGATTTGACATGTTCAAGGGAAATAAGCCATCCTTAGTGGTATACTTATAGTGGCCACTAAAACTGTGATCTATATCACAATCGCCATGACCAATATTCAACCAAATGTAACCAGCATAGCTAGAGTGAATTCCTTAAAAAACATTTTTAATTAATTTTCTGTCGGCCACACACCGAATAGTGGTACAGTGGGAAAAATAAGACTTGTTGACTTTGATAATCAAAGTGCGCTATCGATCATCATCCCTTACGGAATATTATATACACTTCATACATGGTAGCGGGACTACATTATATCCAGTGAACCCTCTTTCAGGCTCCAGGATTATGAAAAAGATAAGGAACATCTGCATTTTTTTTATCAAACAAGCTACTTAAAAATGTATTTATTCATGAATGGGGGAGATGCATAATTGGAATGGCACTTGACCCATTCCCTTTTTGAGATCTTGGTGGCAATTTCTATTTTTTTTTAAGAATGGAGATTGAACAACTGACTAAGTCACGGAGATGGGGGCTAATGCCTCTATCACATTGTGTGGGGTGAGTATGTGAAAACATCGGCATTTATATGGTGAACCCGATGAAGTGTCAAAGGTCGATTCTATCCCAACTGTCACATATTGTCTCGTCTGTCTTGACTGCCATGACCGCCATGAGAGATGGGATAACGTCTTTGCAATAAGGCTTAGCATGGGCGCAAAAAAAAAACCCCAATCTATTTAAGCTCCGCACACTTACTGTGGAAAATATAAAATAACCAAAGTGTCTAATGCATCATTAGACCTCTGATGCCAGTACCAAAATATAATAATGTGTTTTTTCCCCTTTTTTCTGACAAACAAAACTGAAACCTTTTTACAAGGAATCATGTCTGCATTAACCACAATACTTGTGGTCAAACTGCAAACTAAAAACACACTCTGATAATATATGCATTGTCCTTGAAACTGATTGGTCCACACCAGAGATAGCTTTCTTTTGAGTCTCGTCTCAATCGGTGCTAGACCAGAGGACGTCAAAAGGTGTACAGCTCAAAGACAATGCCCTATAAAAGTAATGAGGGCTCGGGGTAAGCATCTACATAATTAGACCTCCTTTGCCAGAAAAAGGAGGAAAACCCTATTATATTTTGGTACTGGCAAAGGAGGTCTAACGATGTAGATGCTTACCCCGAAAAAAGGGGAAAACCCCTATTATTAATACGTCTAATGCATGTTTATCATTATTGGAAATTATAATTTGGGTCTCTAAGGATTTTTTTAGATATATATTATCCACTCCAGCTAAGAAACTGGGAAATATAATGTGTGTTTTTTCTGAAATGGTTTGTGAACTTTGTGTATCAGATGTGCTCATTACAGCCAGCAGAGTTCTTCATGTTGTATATTTTAAAATTGTATATGCGATAAACCAATTTAAACACAATTTTGTAACCACACTCATAAAGTATAAGGCTGTTCTTGGCTTGACGTAAAGAATATCAGTTAAAATATGTTATAAGTGATATTGCAGGTTGGTTTTAATGGGTACAAAGCATGACTTCTGCTAAGGGTCATGTAGCTTCATGTCACACAAATCGCAGCATTATGAAGGCTGCACATATAGGTCCATCTCTTGAAATGCAATGGTGAGACCCATAAATATAAATTAAAATCGCATCCATGCAGCTAAATGAGCCAACTTGAAATGCCTCTGAGCCTCAGTGCACGGGAGTTATGTTTTTACCTTATCTCTCCGACACACTGCGACATGTATAGACTTCACTTGCGGTGTAATGCACGTGGCAGTCACGAGAGCATAATGTTGAAACCATTTAAGATTATTTTTTTAAACAACACAGTTTATTTCTCCACTGTGTTATCGCCCAGTGACATTTTTCAATTAAATGCCTTTTTTTGCAAAAATGCTGACATTTAAGACTTAGGCATGAAACATATGAGGAATCACACTTCCTCTGTAATTTAAAACATGTCTCAAAAAAATATTTTTTTTTTCATTCTAGGATTTTTTGTTTGTTTAAATGGTTCTCATTTTTAACGAGCACATCCATTGATGTGTTTTAGTATAATAAGAAACAGGATACTGTTTTATATTCCATACCTGTCTGAATTAGAATTGTATAGGTTGAGTGGCTCACAGGAAAGAGCATGCATACTAATTATTATTATGCAGTATTGAAGCTCCTTTTTGTAGAAACCCGGTTAATGCGATGGATAAAACAGTCGTGTGTACAGATCTGCTTTATTTACCTTACAAGGAACAGTGTACAAGCCAGAACAACAGACTTCAATCGAATGCTACCCAAATTAATCTACAATATATTATCCGTGATAAAACACACACACACGCGCGCACGCGCACACAAAATTAAAGTGCCACGTGCAAAAGGCTTCTCTTACCAGTGTTGTTCAAGCCAAAGAGAAGAGGGCACGACACAGCAAAGGACAGGACCCAAACCACAGAGATCATCACACCCACTCTCCGTCGAGACCGGTAGCGGGTGTTGTAGAGCACGGGCATCGCGACAGCTGTGTATCTGTAACGCGCGTCGCAAGACAACGGGCAAACGTGGGAGAACGAAAAGCGATGTCGATGCTTTATTTGTTCCGCGGAAAAATCCCCGTTCAGCCAGTTAACCCAGCTCGCTTTGCGAGGTGAGAGCCGTGCCGCGCAAGCGCTGAATGAGAACAGCAATCACACCTGAAGTGATCCGTTCAGGAGGAACAGGCAACGTCGGGAAACGGGAAGGCAACGGAGGTAAGGATTAGAATAATGTGCTAAAATGTAAACAGGAGTATTGCACCAAAAATAAGGACGAGGTAAGTGATGGTTGGAGAGGAGACGAATGTACTGTGAAACGCACTGCTGGAAATAAGTGAAGCACACAGCTTCTTGCCAAATAACTTTTTGTTTCAGGATGCACTTTCTTCTTCTTGGTTCTTTCGGTAAAGTCACGTAGAATGGAAATAATACAAATAAAACATAATAAAATAATTCTCACGACGTTTCGGCCACAACGCAAGCAGCCGTCCTCAGGTGAAGAACAGGTCTGTCGAGAAGACAGAGCATTCAGACTCAGAGCATTCAGACTGTCTTCTCGACAGACCTGTTCTTCACCTGAGGACGGCTGCTTGCGTTGTGGCCGAAACGTCGTGAGAATTATTTTATTATGTTTTATTTTTATTCTTTTATTATTTCCATTCTACGTGACTTTACCGAATGAACCAAGAAGATGAATCCCTGCTGTCACGAAAGCTTTAAATCGAAATTTAAGATGCACTTCCTGTACAGGCCTATTACTTCAGACAAGGCATGTAAATGGTGACACTTTGCTATGTAATAAAAAAAAACTGGTTTAGTTTTATGTCGCATTACGGTTCATACAAATTGCATCTCACAATCGCTGAAGGTCCGCGAACAAAGCTGGAAGCCAGTGAGGGCGTGAACCGACATCAACAACTGGTCAAGCTCTGCAGTCCTATATATATCAAGATGGTTTTTCTTTTTTCAATAAATGTATATGCGCTTGGGAGGAAACTGGAGCACCCGGAGTAAACCCACGCAATATTAGTAGGCACCTTTGCTGTACACTACCACCTTCTCCTGGCATGCCAAGCTACGGGAGCCCGCTTAACGGCATGTGCACGCAATGAGAAATCCCATTAAACTTGATTCGTGCAATCGGAATGCTTATTAGTGGCATGGATAAATATATATATTAAAACAAGACTCACCGCACCCCAGTGGGCCATCATCCGACTTCACACATCACTTGACCTCACCCGCTTAACACGAACTACTATTTTTGACTCTCTACAGTAGGTATACATCTCTTTATTTCCTGAGGAAGGGCTAATCAGCTGAGACATCAGGATGTCTATTTCCTCGGTAATAGTTCTGAACAGCTGCTGGTGTTTTCTGCCCTACCGGATAACAATGTATTGCTGTTGAGAAACGTAGTCAGGAAGTCGTTGTGAACAATTACATTAAAACGCATCTTCCAGAATTGCAATATATTTTCCTGAGATTTTTGTTACTTTGAGCATGCGTTGGCTACGTATTGTGCGAAAGAGGTTCAGCATACATACGTACAAAATACAGGGACAAAGAAACATGCGACTTATAATCAGGAAGATACGGCAATAACAGCCAAGTTGGCTTTTGTGGAAGATTGACGAGGAAGATTGACTCTGTGGCCAGACAACGCAGGAGTACAGCCAACCGTGATAATCGCAGGTGTGGGGAAGGACAATAATTTAAACACAAAATGCAGGTTATAAAGAAATGGGGTTGCAATTTAGATATTAAAAGTGCATGGCTCTAGTGGCTTCCTAATATCGGAAGGAAGACGCGTTCCATACGGCCGCAGAAGCGCATCTGAAAGCGCTATGTAGTCACCGTCTTTGTTCAATGGTTAGCTCAAAGCCACTAGCGAGGATGACCGGAGTTCACGTGATGGTTTATGCTCCTTGACGAGATCAGCAAAGTATTGTGGTTCAATCGTGGCAAGCACTTTGTGTGTGACGAGCGCGACCTTATGATGTATTCGTTCAGTATCCAGAAGCCAATGCAGTTTAGCGAGTACCGGATGGATTTGGTCGGATATTGCATCGCTTGTCACGACGCGTGGCCAGATAATTGTGTACACGCTGTAGCTTGGTGATTTTTTTTTTGGCAGACATCCCGTCCGAGTCGTGAGTTGCAATAATCGAACCTTGTTGATACCGACAGCTACACGGCCCACCCGTGTTGGCCATGTCGTGGCTAAAATCGCGGCCCGACGTGCCGGAGGTTCCTCAAATGAAAATTTGCGGGACTTGACCGCATTTTTTGCACGCGGTGAAAATATTCGCCACGGCATGAGATAAAATGCAGGTAAAAAAAGTTGACAAAATCACGTTATTTCCAACGAATAAATTCTGCACAGACGACTTCGTGTAGACATACGGGAAGGGGGCGCGGGAGGGGGGGGGAGAAAAAAACCAGCGCGCTCGTTGTTTTGGCAGACGGTACCTGTCGATGCTAATGGCGCAAAGGTTGAGAATGCTGGCCGTGCACATCATGACGTCGAGCGTGACGAAGATGTCACAGTGGACCCTGCTGAACCTCCACTCGCCCACCACCTGCAGACAAACGCACGACGCGGCTACTTGCAGGGCACCACAGCGGCTGCAGCAGCACGCCCTTAGCAGCAGCGGGTGTTGACTCTGAGTCACTCTGCAGCTGTGCTGACCAAAAGCGGCATTGCAAAAAGAAAATGCATGATCGGTTCCCCCACCACCACCCCCGTCTCCCCTGTCGCGCATAATGCTCCCTTTCATCTTTTCCATCGCACCATGTGGCGAAGAGGCAATTGTCTACGCCACCGTGTGTGAAAATTCACATTTGCAACTAGTACAGATGTTTTTTTCTCTCTTTCTAAATTTATCACGTTGAATCAATGTCATGCATTTGTTCTAAACGTGGAGAGTCATCGAAAGGTATTTTATTCCGCGGTGCAAAACATGCTCTGCTTGGAAAAACATTGTTATGCCATGCCTTGCTAAGTTCAAGATTATTTGTAAGATCGACCGCAGGATTATAATGAGAGTCTTGTTGTCCATTTATATCAATTTTTTCAAACAAATGACTGCCTTGTGTGGTATATGCGTATTGTGTGTGAGCAATAAACGGGGCAGGAGTAGCACTGGATTGTCAGCGAGAATGTGAATGGGATGTTTATACAGTGTTCCCTCGTTATTCGCGAGGAATACGCTCCGGAGATGCTCATGAATAGCAAATTTTGCGGATAATGATGTTGGCCTACGAAAATATATCTTTACTAAGATTTTGCCCGTCCAAGGACGGGTGTATTGCAGTAAATCTGAAACTTGCAAGCAAAGAGCAGACCGCGACATGATATTCATTGCATCCATTCTTGTTGAATTTGTAAGGCCGCGGTGACACAGACCTATTTCATTTGAAGGTTATAATCCCTTGTTCATCATGACGTCCTTTTTACTTCGATGTCTCAATAGCGTTACGGAGATCGCGTGACGTGAGGGTTCTGCCTTTGTAGTGAGGGTTGTAAGTTGACACTGAGGAGGGGGGAGGAGGCGCCTCGCCCCCCCCCCCCAAGTGGAGTGACGTCACCCGATAATTAATATTAATGAGGGGGGTCAATGTGGAAGACGTCACCTGTTCATGATTATTAATGAGGGGGGCTGGCCGACGTAGATTGACGTCACGCGCGGGACACGCAGACATTCTTGGCTCATTATAGAAGTAATTAATGAATTACATTAAATACATAAATACGCTGTTAAATACCTGAAAATTATCTCATAACTTTCTCTCTCGACGCGGTCGTGTCGAGTTCCAGATGCAATTAGCGAACAATCAAAATTGCGGATAAGCAAGTTCGTGAAGAACGTGTGAACACTAGAAACAATACTCTGCCTCTTCATTGCTAGGTTTTGTGTGGTTTTGGTTTAATGTCAGCCACATGGCCATAGTCTGAGAACACCTCAAAGACGATTGATGTGATAATTGTTTTTTTTACCCTTCTATCTGGCAACAAAACTGACACCTTTTTTACAAGGAGTCATGTTTGCATAGACCACAATACCTGCAGTCATAATGCAAACAAAAAACATAACTCTGATAATGGATGCACTGTCCTTGACGTTGATTGGTCCACACCCGAGACAGCTTTCCTTAGAGCCTAGTCTCACATGGGTTGGACCAGATGACGCCAAAAGGCGCACAACTCAAAGACAATGCACCATCAGAGTATGAGAGCTCGGGGTTAGCATTTACACCATTGGAACCTCATTTGCCAGTAAAAAATATGATAATTGTTTTTTTACCCTTCTATCTGGCAACAAAACTGACACCTTTTTTTCAAGGACAGTGCATACATTATCAGAGTTATGTTTTTTGTTTGCATTATGACTGCAGGTATTCTGGTCTATGCAAACATGACTCCTTGTAAAAAAGTTGTCAGTTTTGTTGCCAGATAGAAGGGTAAAAAACCAAATCATATTTTTTACTGGCAAATGAGGTTCCAATGGTGACAATTGATGTGTTCATTATTCTTAATAATAAGTTACTGATATTGCAGCCTTCACCAAATTTACAGATGTACTTGAAATTGGTTATTGACTGCATTTCCCTTCCCTGGAAATGGTACAAGGCCAAACAACCGAACAATTAAATGTAAATTAGTCAGCTTTATTGAAGATGAAGCAATCGATCATTAGATTCAGTCACTCGCTCAAAGCCGGCCAGTCGCCTGTTCATCACTCTTGTATCGCTGCTACTTTGGTGACTGCTCCAGTGCAACTCACTCATTGATTCCTCTCCCCATCCGAGGACTGGATCTACCAGTGTCACTGCCCCATCTCCTTCATACTGTGTTCAATCATCACGCTGCAGGTCACGCAACACTCTTTTCTCTCTACTTTTTCACTCACACTGCGCCACTTTGAATTTAACCTCCCATCGTCTCTTTTCCCAACTTCTTGTAACTTCGCTCAATCCAAGAAATGTATTAACTCTTTGATGTCAACATTTACAGGGCAACTTTATTTGTGCTGTCTAGATTTGAAGCTTTCGTGACTGCAAGGATTCATATTCTTAGGTTTTTTCGGTAAAGTCACGTAGGTAAAAACATAAAAAAGTAAAATAAAATAAAAATCACGACGTTTCGGAGGCAACACAAGCTTCCGTCTTCAGTGGTACCGTCACAGCCACGACAGCTGTATCAAGTAAATGAGAGATTGCAGGAGCTACCACTCCATTATATAAACGGAGTGGTAGCTCCTGTGACGGTACCACCTGAAGACGGAAGCTTGTGTTGCCTCCGAAACGTCGTGATTTTTATTTGATTTGACTTTTTAATGTTTTTACCTACGTGACTTTACCTAAAAAACCTAAGAATATTGTGCTGTCTGTTCTACGGCCATCTTGGGCCGAAGGGCCTGTGCTCAACAACTGTGGTGTAAAAACAAAAAAAACATCCTCCACTGACCTGGAAGACTCGATCAGTGGCAACAAATGTCCAGCAGAGCAATGCGTATCCTGTTCGACAGGCGGTATTGTAAAAAAATAACTAAGATTGCTCTATCTGCAGTGAATGCGCTGTTTATATCCCCCCCCCCCCCCAGCACAATTTCAGTAATCTCCTTCATCATTTCAAATTTTTACCAAATTCTATAACTACTTACCACATTACAGTAATTGGTTTGTAAACTGCATGTGTAAAAAAAACATTGCAATCATCCCATTGAAAAAAAAAAAATCGAAAAATCGTATTTAATGTTCCTATAACCTGCTGTGTTTTAATCTTTCTTTGTAGTTTTTTTTTACAGCTTAACATTGATCAATATATTGCCCGTGTTGATGTTGGCCAGTTATTGCAGTTGCACTGCAGTCTGCACTCACCAGTGTACATATTCTACAACCTGCGTATATACATATGCGTATTCATGTTTCATGCATTCATTACGCCCTCTGAATGCTGAGGACGTTTGGCTTAACTACCTTGCACGGCAAACACATGTGAACATTAATTAACTACTTGCTTCAGTGGCCTGTTCCAGCTTGTTTAGTGGAGTTAATTGCTGCTACATGTTTAACTTCTAAAGCAAAACATCTTACAACGGGTAAGGTGAATTTATTCAGTGGCTCGGGAAATACACTGCAATAGTCCATGGATTTGTTCTTTTTCTAGAGAAGCTTGGCCCTCATTTTATTGGCAGCTGTGTCGCGTAAAATGTACACGTGTGCTTCCTCATATGCTCGGATGTATTTTTGCATTTGTGTTACATTATATTATTAACATCTCACAAATTTGGATCATACTTATTACCACAGGGATATATATATATATACTTGGGAATACATCAAATCTTGCTACGATATATGCTTTTATTAAAAAAAATACCACAAAGTGTACAGTCAGCTAAATTACTGTACCATGAATTTAAACAACTTTTTGGGGAGAATTAAAAAAAAACTGTGTCCACATGTTCATTGTGGGGAGCGGTGGTGGAGCGGTGGTGAAGCGGTTAATGCCAAACCCGGCGACCCGGGTTAAATTCCCGCTCACGGCCAACACCAGTGACAGTTATCTGAACCGGTCCTGGGCCTCCCCTAGGTCGACTCAGCCTCAATTGAGTACCTGGTGCGATATATAAACATCAGCACTGGGGATACAAAGACGGCCGAGCTTGGTGTTGGCCACCCACCCCCTCGTGTGCCGTGCTGACCTTAATAGGTGCACTCGCTAACAGCACTTGCCCCAACAGTCTGTTCAGACTATATCCGGGGGCTGTTTGTTTTTGTTCATTGCCATCAAAACACCGCTGCCAAGCCGAAACGATGTTAACTATCTCGCCTGGTATACAGGAGGTCGTAGGTTCGATCCCAAACCTGACACCTATATATTTGGTGTGTCCCGTTCTCCCCATGGTCACACGGTTCCTCTGTTTTTTACCTCCACCACATTTAGAAGCATCACACGTTTAGTGTTTTTTTTTGCCGCTGTAAATTGTCCACGTGATGATGAGCCACTTCGTTGAGCTATCATTTGTGGCAGCCAGGTCGCTTCTGAAAAAGAGCTCTATATATATAGCTCAGTGGGGCCTGACCTGGCAAACAAACCAAAGAGTTTAAAAAATATGATAATTGTTTTTTTACCCTTCTATCTGGCAACAAAACTGCCAAAAGGCGCACAACTCAAATTCCAATGGTGTAAATGCTTACCCCGAGCTCTCATACTCTGATGGTGCATTGACACCTTTTGGCGTCATCTGGTCCAACCCATGTGAGACTAGGCTCTAAGGAAAGCTGTCTCGGGTGTGGACCAATCAACTTCAAGGACAGTGCATATATTATCAGAGTTATGTTTTTTGTTTGCATTATGGCTGCAGGTATTGTGGTCTATGCAAACATGACTCCTTGTAAAAAAGGTGTCAGTTTTGTTGCCAGATAGAAGGGTAAAAAAAACAATTATCATATTTTTTAATGGAAAATGAGGTTCCAATGGTGTAAATGCTTACCCCGAGCTCTCATACTCTGATGGTGCATTGTCTGAGTTGTGCGCCTTTTGACATCATCTGGTCCAACCCATGTGAGACTAGGCTCAAAGGAAAGCTGTCTCGGGTGTGGACCAATCAACTTCAAGGACAGTGCATATATTATCAGAGTTATGTTTTTTGTTTGCATTCTGACTGCAAGTATTATGGTTTATGTAAACATGACTCCTTGTAAAAAAAAAGGTGTCAGTTTTGTTGCCAGATAGAAGGGTAAAAAAACCAATTATCATATTTTTAACTGGCAAATGAGGTTCCAATGGTGTAAAAGTTTTAAAAAATAGTTACATACGCCGCTCCCACATTTCAGCCGTTGTCCGTTACCTCCAGGTAGACCACCCAGGGCATGACCAGCGTCGCCACGAGCAGATCGGCGACGGCCAAGCTGACGATGAGATAGTTGGTGGTGGTTTGGAGCGACTTTTCACGCGAGACGGCGATGCAGACGAGGACGTTGCCGAAGACGATGAGGCATATGAGCAGCGTGAGGAGCATCGCGTAGAAGTTGTAGCGGTGCGAAGGCTGAGGCGCCGTGCCGTTGAGCCAACCCGAGGAATTGCCCGTTCCCAGGGTGTCGTTGAGGACGGAGAGAGCTTGAGATACGACCATGGCGCTTGGCTTGGTCAAACACCCTAGCCTACGCTGAACAGACATCGGTCGGACATGTAACCCCCCCTCCTCCTCCCTCCCCCTTCCCCAATGCACGTGTTTTCTAGTCACGTTTGAACCGAAGCAGTGTACACACAATGCTTTCGTGTAGTGTGTGTGTGTTGAGATTTCTTTCGCGCCGTACGTAGCCAACCGCGATTATCGGAGGTGTGGGAGCTCTCGCTGCTGAAAAGTGAAAACATTATATTTTTCGGCATTGCTTTGCACGTTCAATTCGTTTTTATATACATGCGTAAAATTGGTCCAATGCACGTGATAAATGTTGACGATTTCATGAGTTGTGTTTTGTTGTTGATTAAATGTGAATTGAATTTGGGAAATAATGGTTCAAAGTACTGGAAATATTCTATGAATGGAGTCATTTGTACCGTCATGTAAATATGGGGTAAAAAAACCCATCGACAATGTTAATATAAATAGGGTTAAACAATCCATATTTGTTGATATCAAATGCTTTAAAATTTTATATAATTAACTCGTTACACCTTGTTCACCATTATCAGTATCTACGTGACTTTACCGAAATAACCCAAGAGTATGGATTCCTGCAGTCACGAAAGCTTCAAATCAAGGTTGATATGTAAGCAAAGTCTACAATTACTGTACATATTTGCTTGGGGTATGTCATGCTAACGTGGGGCATTGAATTTGAATATTCATTTGGAAAGAAATTGCTTCACCTAAAAAATGTTACACATTCATGATTGGAGCCAATGACTTATAGGTGTTGTGGGAAAAAGTCAATTATCAGAAACAGCTACCAGTCAAAATACTATTAAATGTAATACAATTTAGTACATCCCTCTGTGTACATTCTGCTTACACACTTAGCATGCTACAGTGGGACATTTTTAATCATTTTGTTTGCTTTGTCTGGAAAACGCTACGTTACTGTTCGAAGGGCATGCAATAACCACACTCAGGTGATGCACTGCCATGCCCCAGATTGCAACGTTACAGTAGCGAAAATAATCCGTGATGGGGGTGTTTTTTTTCTTCCCCCGCAATAAATGACCGAGGAAGCGTTGTGGACACACTGAGAAGTTTGAATTGGCAAACGAAGCACAGTGCTAACGAATGTCTTGAATCAGGTTAGCTACGTAACCTTGGCTTTTATGCTAACCCTTTGTGCACCTCCCCTCGGCAATTACCGTGCAGGGCTCGCATCTCGTCACCGACTGTTGTCACGGATCATTACGATGTTGAAACGGTACGCTTTTATTTTTTTTTTAATATAATTAGTCTTTTGTGTTTAAAAATAAGAGTGTCTGACCGCGCATAGCTCTTTGGATTCTTTTAAAAATGACTTGCAATGGGTCACAGAAATCAGTTGAGAATGTAGACGAGGAAGTGATGTGAATGAGAAAAGGGACTCGGGGGGATTTGTGCCGGGTCATGGTAAGAGTTGGTCAAAATTGCTGTGTCTTGCGCTGAACATTTACGTCATCGGTGAAGCACCCAGGGAATTTATTTTTTTACTAATGGACCGCAACTGGGTAATATAGTTCACAAGAATTGGTGTTATGTGCTCTCTGTTGTGAAGATGCCTGATTATTATAGAGGTAGGTAGTGGTCCGAGCATGATGTTAACCTACGTCAATGTTTAATATGTTTATATATTAAATTATTGACCATTTGCACAGATTTACTCAATAAAATCAGGCAATGCGGACACAGGCGCTTATATTATTAGCAGAGGTGTGACACTCTATCAATTAATCGACTAATATCCATTTATCATGTGTGCAAGAATTCACGTTTTGAGATTCGCATGCAGTTTACTTTTGGTATAACTGTGTGAGGATTATCCGGGTGTCAGATTAACCGTGCTTGTGAAAGAAACTAATCAGATATTGGTTTTACAATGCGCTGGTTTAATTATTGGCTACTGCTCACTCTCCGAGCGTCAATGACTCGGTGCCCACGTGACAGCAAACGCCCGCAATTGATAACAATAATTATAATTAAGTACATTTGCTATTTGCATCACTCACCTCCGATTAGCACGGTTGGCTGCGTACGGCGTGAAAGTAACATCACAATCCATTGATTCACCAAGAGGAATTAATCATTGCACCTCTTATGTGTACGTCTATTTGCACATAAATGTTTATATTGTACCTGAAACACATTGGTAGGTCTGTAAAGTATTGAGGGGTATAAGGTAGCTGCTCTACGGTTTTGCTGAGAAGGAATGAGATGGTATGTAAGGAACGTGACTGATATGAGGGGCTGTGCCTGGACTGTCAATCAAAGCACCATTACATAATGCCGCCTCCAATTACTGCCATTTGTCTCACTAGATCAGCTTCAACTCTGTCTCCCACCCTCTCGTCCTCCCACCTTATTAATCCCCCTGGGATCTTGGGGGAACCATATGCTTGCAAGCAAACGAACCTGACCTCCAAAAACAAGCAGCTGTTCCCATGGGCATGGCCTAATCTAGCCCTCCTGTTGGATAACGGGCTTGAGTCTGGCGGAAATCCTACACTGGTCCGAAAGCTTAATTCATAGGAGCGATCCTCAGCCACCCTTGACACCCTTCCTTATTTTGTATTTTATTCCCTTGGAATTCTTTCTCTTTCTCCTCTTAGACTCTTAAAGATGCGGTTCCTTTTTTGACATTCTAGATTTGAAGCTTTCGTGACTGCAAGGATTCATATTATTAGGTTTTTTCGGTAAAGTCACGTAGGTAAAACATTTTTTATATTTTACAAATTTTTACCTACGTGACTTTACCGAAAAAACCTAAGAATATGAATCCTTTCTGACACTCATCGCGAGAGGTCACCCCCACCCCCTTGCTTGCCTTCTGGTAATTGGCATGAATTGACAAAACGTGTCTCGTGCCATTAAATGTTATACGGCACACAGTGGTCACTGCAACTGCTCTGTACACTCTGGCGAACCGAGTTCGATGTCCTGGCCATGGTAAACGTCAGCAGCGAGTGATAACTGGGAAATGTTTCTGAGCCACCCTCAACGTTTCCACACCGGCACTGGCGAGCCCGTAGTGGTTTTCATCCAGCAGTGGATTGACAAATGTATTAAAAAATTATTCTTATTTTTGGGGTTTACGAATGCAGTTCTGTAGGTTGCCAGCACGCATCATAGTAGCCTCCATGAATGATATTATTAATGCAGCATTCTGCATAGCAAAAATGCTTCCAGTAGATCTAAGGTTAGTTTTTTTCCCAAAAACTAAGCGTGTGTAATAATGCGCAAGTTGTTATTTTAACATTAGTATAGATTGGAGATAACTTCATAAGGACGTTTTTCTGCATTCAGTGCTTTGTATCACCAAGACTTGGAATGCGTCCAGCAAGGCCGTAATTATAATATAAATTGGGGGGGGGGAGGGGGACACCCCCCCCCCCCCCCCAATATTCAAATATGCTCAAAATGTCACCCCCCCAATGTATTGATATAAAAAATATATTTTTTTAAGAATAATTGCTATGCTACGACAAGCAACCACGCACCGCCGTCCAAAATAAGCATTAGCAAATGTAATCATAATCATAACCAAACTTAACAAGTTGCCATTATTACTACTACCGGTTCTAGTATTACGGTGTAACTGCAGTTCTGCGATGTGGTTTGTCCTAGTGGTGTTGCCGTACCCCAGCAGAAGCCGTTGTTCGACTGCTGTGGGTAGGCACAATCAATGCCAAACACTGTCCTGTCTCTCCATTTCATTACTTTCAAATTTATTTAAAAAATGGAAAACTAGAATGTAATATGAGTGTTACGTAGGCTATATCATTGTCGAGTGGAAACAAAGTTTTTGGTGATTTGCGATTGCTAATCAATCAACCATCCATCACGAACGTGAGCTATCATAGCTAAGTAAGTTACTTAGAAAGTTACCTCGCCACACATTCACCCGGCGACCAACAATGGCGCTCACGGACGTATTCAACTCACGTTAATGTCTTTATTACGTTATATTTGTCAGAAAGCCCACGTGGAGTCTGAGTAAAGTGTCCATCATTTATGTTGCGATGCGTGTGTAATATTTGTAGACAGTAGTAGCTTTAATTTATTGCATATTCGTATAGTATCGTGTAGTGTATAGCTGGCCTTGCTTATGATAAATAGCATTATTAGTGTTTCTTTGATTATAGTGCAAGTAGTTTTATTACAGTCAGCTTTCATTCACAGTGAGTGTCATCATGAGCAGTGACATTCGTCAGTTTTTTGGGCAGCCTCAGAAAAGAAGAAAAGTAAGCTGAGAGCAGTGAGAAAATGAGTATACAGATGAGTCAATGTTTCTCGATATAATAATAATTGCCATTCAGATCAGAAATGGTTAATAATCCATTCCTGAACATCATGGCAAGAAACACCGCTTCTTTACTGATAATATTTCTTTCATATTCACTCTGGTGCATTCAGAGTAAAGAGAGAGAGGATGCCGACAGGGCAGTGAGAGCAGGTGACATGGAGGTGAGTGAGAAAAGGAGCAAATATTGATGGTTAAAGACCGAATAATGACATCACAACAGTCTAATCCTCATGTTAATTTAAGCTGAGACATTCCTCTATATATGGCTTCTCGTGTGTATTTCAGATAATACAATCAAGCAGGGAGAGTGAGTTTGAGACAATGACAGACAGAGAGAGAGCGAGCGAGCGAGTGAGCGAGAGAGCGAGCGAGCGAGCGACGGCAACATAAAGCCCCGTTTAAAAAAAAAAAAATTTTTACGAAATGATGAACGAAACAAAGTGCCGAATACACCGAGCATCTTCTTGTTTCCACTGATCGTAAAAAAATAAGAGAGAGCAGACAGGCAAGCGAAGGTGAAGGTGCAGAAGAGGGAGGGGAGGAGCTTGGACCTTGTCCAAATCAGCCAAATGTTGATGTCATACCGAGTCAAACCCTATCAAATAGGACACTCTACTTTCAGGAGAAATGGTTTAAAGATTATACTTGGCTCCATTACAGCCCCTCCTTAAAGGGGGTCTTCTGT